TTGATAATGTAAAGTAATAATGGTGATGCAAAAAAACAAAAAAAAAACTCCTGAAAGTGTGTGGTGAGTGGCATGTACTGTACATAATGAACTTTCCATCTCTTGCTGAGCTTAAAAGGCATTTAAATGCATGAATAGCAGGTACAGACATTAAAGGAAAACGGTGATAAGGATTATGAAACTGCTCTTTGGCTGCTTTGATCATTTGCTGGTCATTTGCTGCCTAAATCTCTCGACCAGTCAGAATGTGTCGCTTTAATTCTTCGTATATCAAATCTGGCTCCTAAAACACAACAATTAAAATTTCCATTTTCATCAACTCTGTCTGTTTCAGTCATTAATGCACAATTTTTTTTAAAGTAACGCACTAACAGCACCTCGATGTTTTCTGTGAAATCAGAAGGCCGCCTCGTCTGCAAACAAACAAGTAAGCAAACAGTTAATCAAACTACTGTCACATGGAATCCTACATGTCTGCCGATCAATAACTACTGGTACCGTCGTCGTCCTTAGATCTCTCATCCCAATCAGTTCAAGATCAAACTCAAGTCCAAGGCAGACATCAATCTTTTTGGCTCCGTGCCATCTTATTGGCTTCCTGTCATTTCTGCAGACATCTCTTTCTCTCTCCCTCCCTCTACCTCCCTCTCTCTCTCTTTTTCTCTCAGTTTTTAAACCAGCAGCAGCTTCCACTCGCTCACTGTGGAGACGCGCAGAAGGAAGGTTTTGCTCTCCACACGCTCAGCTCATCTTTGAGAAACACAGACGCAGGTAAGTTACTGGCTGATATCTTTTCACTTATTTACATTTCTATATATACATATATTGTTTTTGCATGCATCCTCTTTTCATAAATAGTGGTGATGTTCTTAACAGTTGCATTGATGCAAACACTTTCCCTCCAGTGTCACTGAAAGTGCAGAGGGTTTGTACAGTTCATGGTTTCCCATTTGCATGTAAGACGAGCACCGGCTCATTTTACATAATTTGGAAGATATACATACATATTTGCATATTGACCTGTGTGCTCTGTTATATAATTGGCATTGTGATTATAAAATCAGCAAATAATAGAGGTAGGTGGTATACAGAGGACTGAGAGTGGGACAGAATCTATGGACATGAACAAACCTGTTACAAGGAACAAATATGTGTTCATTATTTATTGCTTTCCATTTAAAAACAAAATACAGGACTGTGGAAAGGTTTTATGCTCCTAATTGTTCTTATTTTGTGTGTTATGCATCACATAATAATTGCATTACATCGTTTTAGTTTTGCAAATTGTGGATCATTCCAGTGAGATGTTTGTTTGTTAAATAACAAAGAAGGAACACATTTTACACATAAAAACCTTGAGGATTTGTAGGTATTAACTGCAACAGGTACAACTGTGTGGGGTAAAGTTAAAACAATGAGGCTGCTGAAGAAAAAATCCAGCACTTTGGCAAGAATGAGTTCAACGATAAGACAAAAGGTGGTCACCCGGCATTAACGAGGTCTCTCACAGGCAGAAATTCTGCAGCAGACAGATGTTTTCTGGAAGTCCAAGCTCGTCAAAAAAAACACAAGGGACCGGAAATGCAGAGGAAACTGAGTACAGCGGATGAAAGACACATTAAGTTTCCTTCTGAATTCGGAAGAAGTCCGGCAGCAGCAGCAGCGCAATCAGCTCTGAACCGGCAGAAACCAGTGGGACGTTGGTGGACCAATCTGGACAGTGGTCAGGACAAAAAAGGGATTTGTCAGACGTGGAAGTGACTCACCTAAAGTCAAAAAAACCCCATAATGGAGCCAGTATGGGTTCACATGAAGAGGCAGAAGACACTTAGAGAGGAAGTGTTTTTAAGTATTGATTGGATTTTGTTTTCTTTGTACAGCTGAGAAACAAAAGCAGCTATTCTTGAAATAATCCTCACTTTATTGCTTCCATACTACTGTATACATGTGTTCTCACAGCTTATAGCCACATGTGCTGCAGGTTTCTGTATTCACTGCACTGTACGCACATATGAACGATCTCTAAAAGACTTTTTTTTTCTACTCAAGCAATTCACATTTTAAATAGCAGCCAGCAAAAGGCAGACAACATCTCCATTTACTTTCCAGTAATATCTCTCTTCCACACTTTGCATAACTAGAACGCTGTCAGTGATGATTCTTTGCATCAGCTGTAGCATAAATTAATTTCATATTGACAGGGGTTCGTTTTGTGCCTCCGTGCTGTACAAGTGAGTCACGTTAAGGTTTACAAATCAGCAGGATGCATGTGGGGGGAAAAAAGAAAAGGAAAGCTGTAGGAAGCCGAGGCCGATGCTGCAGCTGCAAATGGAGTAATATGGAACGTGTGAAATGTAAGAAAACCACAAAGACACAAAGTTAAAATTAAATGCTTCATAAAACTGATTTCAGCTGCACATGTTCTAAATTATAAGGTGTTTTGTCGACATATTCAGTTTGTATTCTGATCTGATCGAAAGCATTACATTTATGATATTATGCAAAAGAATGAGGACGTGTCTCCAGATCAGGAGCTAAATGTGATCATAAGACTTGTTTGTATTCGGATAAAAAAATATGATGATAATGTGGCGACATCTTAAAAAAAAAGTCAACACAGGTGCTGTCGTCTTCACATTAATCCATACCCTCCCATTAAAGAAGGAAAAAACATCTGTCACTGAAATAAGTTGAAATAACGTTGCTTTTGAATTGTGGTTCAACAGAAATTTTTTTTTTTTTTTTTTAAAAGCAAACAAGCGCAATGGGACCCGTAAACTAATATTTTGTGTTAATCACTGCAATCATGTGTTTTCTGTAACTCTCAGTCAGACTTCTGCACCTGTTGACAGGTATTCTGATTTCACTGTCATCAGTAAAGTGCTCTAATTGTTTTTAATATTATTCGTTTTAACCACAATTCAAAAGCAATGTCTTATTTAATTAAATTAGAATTTAGTAAATTTTTATTTATTATTACTTTTTTCAGTTTCTAGTTATTTGAGTGACTATTGAGAATTTTGCCTTTTCTTTAATGGAAGGATATGAATACATTTGAGGACGACTGTAAACTCATCCATTGGTTTTGTTAAAATAAAAACTAAAATCCTGAGGAAACTAACCAGTGAAACTTCACCTCAGTCACAGCTGTCTTTTTAAGTCAAACCCCTAGATAGTGAATCAAAAATGTAAAAAAATAATGTTTTGAAGTAATTTTGTACTGTTGATTTATTATTTAGAAATTTCCACCCTGGTGGTTCCTGAACCGGGACCAGGCAGCATTTGTTATTAGAACACAATCTGCTGCTGTTTTAGAAAGGTTGCCAAGCTTGGCACACTAAAGGCCTCCTGGTACCACAATGATTAAAATGGATGTGGCTTTGTTTTACTTCATTTCATTTGCACTGAAGCTGGTAGAGTTGTAGCTGGAAAATCTACAGAGCTGGTTTGATGGCATTAGAGTGTCTGAATCATTGTCATTAGGTTGTTTTTCACGGCAAGGTCCTGTCCGAGTATTAATTAAACCTCTGAAATTCGTCTCCATGTATGAAAATGATGTATTTAAAGGTTTAATCTCCAGGAAAATAAACCCTTTAAGCTTAAAAATGTAGCTCTACACCTTTGTTCCCACGAGAATATGAACCCCTCGGTTCTTCTTCCACTCAGGCCTCCATCGCTTGCTGCAGCTCCAGCACACCAGCTCACCTATGACGCTGCTCAGACACTGTAAAAACACTCTGCGCTACACAATGGCATGTTGTAATATTGGAGTAATTTAGTCATGCATGAAACCAGATTTTAAAGATGAATAATATTACAGAAAGCTTTACCTTGCAAGTTCTTTTGGTTTGTTATAGTGATGCACGATATTAAAATGTCTGGCCGATACCGATATCCGATATTAAGACTTCTGATATCGCCGATAACCGATATTATCGATGTCGATATTTAATTTTTGTTCACGCCGAAAAATGAGTATAAGTGTGAGAACGTGACAACTATTCAAAAGAAGCCCAAATTAGACCACATAGTCTCCTTTGTTACAAAAATAAGACACATTTAAACATATTTAACGTTCAAGTCCAGGATGATTTAAGTAAAATCATCTGTGAAATAGCAGCAACATCAAATGTAGAGACGAAGGCGCTGATGTTAAACAATCATCGGTTTGTCACATCGGCTAAATTTGCTCATCACACCGATACCGATAAATGGGAAAAAAACAAGAATATCGGCCGATACCGATGTGGTCACCGATATATCGCGAGCTTGTTACACACACAACAGCAGAACCAAGTCTTGGAGTTCACGGCTTATTTTGCTCATTGTATGTTCATAACAATATATAGACATGTCAACAAGGCCATAAACTTGATTTTCACCAGAGAGGGACTTAAAATAAAAGTCTGGGCTTAAGGGTGTAATTTGATTTCCAAGGAATTTCCCTTCCTTCAATTTTCTCTCTAATTCATCCTCCATCAAATGACTGTGACAATAACCAGCAAGGAGTCATACAGTAATAGAAACAGCAAACAAAATGCGTCCAATTTGAGCACCTCAGTCTTGTGGAATAATTCTGTTGATGCTGAAAAGTGCTAAAACAGTCAATAATCACATTTATATGCCACAGTGTGCCTTCTAAATGAAGACGCAAATGTGCAATTTGACATTTTTCCAGGTGCACGTTTTAGTGGATGGACTGCTCACGATCAAATATCTTCATAATTACCCGTGCTATAATAATGTGCTCTTCGCCCCTCACAGCTAAAATGCGTCGGTGTTGGTAAAAGCGCGGCTTTTCAATAATGGATTTACATTCTGTAAATGTCACGGCCTGTTCTCATTAGAATGTTGTATAAATTTTGCACGCTCGCTTGACTCTAATGAATTATTTGCGCAGACATTTGACGTTTAGGAAGAAGTTGTTAATGGCGTGATGTAACAGCTGCCAACTTGTGTTTTTGGACGGCGCAGGTATCGACAGACTGATCTCTGCTGCCATGGAAGCCAATCGCAGCGGCTCGACCGGAGGCACGCAGCCATCTGGGCACGTTTACGAAGTTGCCGTACAGAGCAACTCGACCAACCGCAGCTCCCAGTTTGCCGACGTGGCCTTGCTGCAGACCTTCAAGCCTCTCATCATCCCCTGTTACGTGCTGGTGGTGGTGGTGGGCGTCTTCGGGAACTACCTGCTCCTCTACGTCATCTGCCGAACCCGCAAGATGCACAACGTCACCAACTTTTTCATCGGGAACCTGGCCTTCTCCGACATGCTCATGTGCGTGACCTGCGTGCCCTTCACGCTGGCCTACGCCTTCAACCCGCACGGCTGGGTGTTCGGCCGCTCCATGTGCTACCTGGTGTTCCTGATCCAACCCGTCACCGTCTATGTCTCCGTCTTCACGCTCACTGCCATCGCTGTGGACAGGTGGGTGGATCTCTGCATTGACATTTTCAAAGTGTTCTATTCTTGTGTGACTTTTCGTCGCACTGTAATTATCTTCAAAGTTTAACGTCTGCCGCTCCGTGTAAATCGACTGCTTATGCAATAATCTAAAATAGAGATTTAAAGACATCATCCTGACTATCCATCCAATATCTGTACACCACTTACTAGGGTCACGGGGAGGCTGGAGTCTATCCCAGCTGACCCAGGGTTAAGGTCACCAGTCTATCACAGGGCTACACTTAGAGACAGACAACCAAGCACACTCACATTCACACCTACGGACAATTTAGAATCACCAATTAACCTCAACTGTGTGGGAGGAAGCTGGAGAACCTGGAGAGAACCCACGCGGCATGGGGAGAACATGCAAACTCCACGCAGAAAGATCCCACGTGTCCTCATCAGGACGCGAATCAGCGACCTTCTAGCTGCGAGGCAACGGTGCTAACCACCGAGCCACCTTGCAGCCCTCATCCTGACTAAATGAAGGGAAAATAACATAAAGTGAATTCCATGTATACAGGATTTTGTATTGATGAGAGATGAGAAATGAAACTCGGCTAGAACATGTGGAACATTCTGGATGCTCGTGTTTGCTGATTATTTTTGTCGGTGTCTGCACCATAGACTGTATAAAAGATGGACGTAGCAACCGGCCCTGAAAAATGAAGCCAACCTGGGAGTGTCAAAAACCTGCAACATCACTACGTCCGCTAGCTGCTGGCTCCAAAAAGCCCTGGCTCCTATAGACATGAATTGGAAAAGAAGTGATCACAGATCATGAAATACTGCATTCCTACAGCTCAGGATTTTTTTCTTATTAGTTTTCATCGTCAAATCCAGAGATCAGGTGGCCAATCTGAAAATAAATCAATACTGAATTTCTAAAAAATCGCCAAAAGTTTTGCGGGGCAAGGGGCGTGGCTGGCTTGATTGACAGTCGGCAGCGACGAGGCAGATGAAGCGAGCAGAAGGCGGTAAATGTGGGCGGGCAGAGAGGGCCCGCCTCTCAATCCGTCTGACCAATCGCTGCTCCTATGGCTCCGCCCCCCTCCGACGATTTTTGCGTCACTGGCTCCAAAAATCCAAGATGTCAACCAGGAAGTAGCAAAACCCTGGCTTCATTTTCTCAGTGCAGAAACCAACGGGTGACGTCACGGTAGCTACGTCCATCTTTTATACAGTCTATGGTCTGCACTGATGATATCAGTCAGGACAGACGCCACGTAGAGGGTTAGTGTGTCGTAGTTCCTCTGTACAATATGAGAAAAGTCCAAAACACTGCCCCCATGTAGAAGACAGCATCACGGCGGGAGGCTACAGCGACCAGCAATCTGACCTGGTTTGACCTGAGATGACAACAGCAGCCATCACTCATTTACTCATTTCTAAATTGGGCAGATGAGTAGAAAGATTGGTTGTCGGGCGCTTAATGATTGCTGAAGTGACACTTTAATCAATGAAGTAACAGCTTCATAAATTCATGACTAAAATATGGCCACATATGATCCAGCGTAGCTTGGAAGTCCGTGGCCTGATGTTAATCAAAGAGTCGCTCCTTTATTATCTTATGCAATTGAAGAGTTAATTAGAAACTTCAATCAACAGTACATCAATTATCATTACTGCATTAGTCAAAGTCTTTTTATTTGCGTGCGCATAAAAAGAGCCGCTCGCTGCTCGCTGGGCCGCGAATCCAATCATCCACATTAAAGCCTCCTTCTGTATTTCTGCTGCTCTCAAACTGCTGATTTCTCTCCGAGCAGAGAGCGGAGGACATCAACATCAACCGAGGCTTTTAAGCACCGGTTGAAAACTCATTTTGCTTTCACTGAAAATCTATTTCTGCTGCCGTTTGTTTTTTTTTTTGTTTTGCACTCTTGCACCCTTATCATGAAGCGCCGCTCTGCCTCCATTGCAGATACTACGCGACGGTTCATCCCCTGAAGAAGCGGACCTCCGTGGCGACCTGCGCCTCCGTCCTCACCGGGATCTGGCTGCTGTCTTGCGGTTTGGTCGCTCCGGCGGTGACCCACACCTACCACGTCGAGTTCAAAGAGGAAGGCTTCACCATCTGCGAGGAGTTCTGGTTGGGTCAAGAGAAAGAAAGACGCGCTTATGCGTACAGCACCCTGCTGGTCACGTATGTCCTCCCGCTGTCGGCTGTTTTCGTCTCTTATCTCTGCATCACCGTCAAACTGAGGAAGTGCGTCGCTCCGGGGCACAAGACGCCGAACCAGACGGGCGCTCAGCAGGCCCGAAAGAGGAAGATCTTTCGTCTGGTTGCGCTTCTGGTGTCTGCGTTCGCGCTGTGCTGGCTTCCCATCCACGTGTTCAACGTGCTGAGAGACATCGACATCCACCTCATAAACAAGCGCTACTTTTTGCTCATCCAGCTGCTGTGCCACCTGTGCGCCATGAGCTCGTCTTGTTGCAACCCCTTCCTGTACGCGTGGCTGCACGACCGCTTCCGCGCCGAGCTGCGCAAGATGTTCAAGTGCCGCCATCGCATCGGAGTGCCGACCAATCACTGCGCTGCGAGTGTGGTTCTGTAGCTACCTGGCGAAGAACCATCCGTCTGAGTGTACATTGAGGGCTCATCCTGAGTTCAAGTGTCGGTGTGGCGGCTAAACCAATTCACCAGAACTTGACGGCAATCCAGGCAGTAGCTACGAAAAATGCTAACGGGCCAAGAGATGCTCTGGAAAAGAAGAGAGTCTGATTGCGTTCTGTCACTTTCATCTTCATCTTCTGAATACTTTTTGAGATATAAAATTAAAAAGTAAGAAATGTTGGGCTTGAAGGTGGCAATCAAAAAGAGGATCATCAAGTTGTTCCTCCTCTGAGGACCACGAACATCCACGAACTTTACCGCATCTAAGCTATCGGGTGTCTTGTGTAAAAAGTTAACAAGTGCTTTACAGGAAAACCATCTGATGAAAGTAGTAGGATCTTAACGAGATAAAATAGTAATCATGGATAATAAATACAGCAATTATCATCTGTTAAGAGAGAAGATGAATGTTTAAAGAATTAGTAAAAGATTGAAAAGGTGACAATGAGTTTGCAGGTCAAAACTAAGAACCTCAAGGAATCCAAACGGAACGATGAGGCTCACCAGATAGGATACAGAGGAAGGCTCTAATCTAGGGCTGGACCTGAATAGCCCGACTACTCGTTCGCTGTGCTGGAATCAGGATATCAATTTTGATCCCCGGATTCCTCCCCGGAACGAATAGTCACCTGCTACCACCTCCCAACTAGTCGGGATATTCATCATTAATTGGGCCGAATATCCAGAGAGCAGAAACTGCTATTCAGACCAGCCCAACTGTAAACTAGACAGGGTTCATCCTCTGGGGACCATGAATGCATCTTTTATTGGCTAGTTGGATGAATATATTTCCTATGAGGTAACATGGTGCCACTGGATGAAAGGTAAGTGGATCACCACTAAGGTAGAGAATTTCAACAACGGATAAAAAAAAAAATCATCCATTTTTAAAACAGCTCTGACACCGACCAGAGACAAGGTGGTGTTTGATGATAAAACATTAATATAGTTTTTGCGATTTAAAAGAGGTGACATCTGAAGAGTGTAACCATTAAATCCAGACGGACCAGAACAACAGGGACTGTGTGTATAATGAACAAAGTGCGGCTGTATTGGATGTGAAGAGAAAATGAAACCATCAGTTTAAACCGCGTTGGTCACTGCAGATGCGATTGTTTCCGCCGCGGCTCTGATGTCAGAACTAATCCGTTTGAGCTGCTCCAACTTGGAGCCCGGAGGAATAATTCACATTCATGAATGTAATCCTCGAAGGCTTTTAATCTTTTGAAAGTAGTCGATGAATATAACCCTTAACATGTATATCATTAAGTATTTATGATAGCGTAGCGTCATGGATGTAAAGGAATTGAACTCGTGTGGTGCCGTTGTGCTTGCTGTGCTGTGCTCTCTGTTGTGTCTACAGGTTTTTAAGAGTTTGTGCAAGACTGGTTCACATATTATGAATAAATAAAGTCAAGTTAGTACATTTACCAGCCGGTCCGCCAGCACCGATAGCAGCTGCCTGGTTGTTTTCACTGAGCCTTATTCCAGCTCCATTACTAAGACACTTGTTCCATGTTCTCTGTGTGCATAAATATCTCTTTGCAGAAGTCAACATGTCGCTAAATAATAAAACCTCACGTATTCCACAGTAGACGTGGCATGCTCTTTTATACCTGCTCGTTTTCCATCACCAGTCTGAGTGGTTTTGGGGGGGAACATGCCGTGTGGCGTCATCTGCCCTGTAATTTTCACAGAGTTGTTTTTGAAATTACGTTCATGATTTGTGGTGCGACGCGTTTACTCTGTGGGGAAACCGTTGAGATGAAATGACCTCTCTGCTTCAGATCAATGTGACCGCGTGACGGCGGAAGACGGAATGAAATTACGTCCGACTTGGTCGGGAGGGCTGCTGCACGGCTGGATTTACTAATTAAATGACGAGGAGGATGAAAAGTGATGTCTGCATATCAACTAGGCCTATTTAAGTCATCGGGAAAAAAAACGTGGTAATTTATTGATCCTCCGAATCCTGTCAGCGTTCTTGGCGCTCATTGCCAACGATGACATTCATTTGCTGCAGTTGGATGGTGTTAATTCTGCAGCGCTATAACTAAAGCACCCTGAGAAGAAAGACCCACTGAGCACAGTTTGTTAAAATGGCCGTAAAGCTACAAAAGCTTCTGCGGGTTTTTGTGTTTTTTACGTTGGACCTGAAAGCTGGATCGTCTGGATGTCGTATCCTCTGTGTTGTTTACATATAGGAAGTAAACTGAGTGCTGCAATGGGCAACATTAAATGACGATTTAATATCCTGGATCGCGTTACAAGAGTAAAGCATGAGCCTTTCTCATTCGTCGATCATGTTAATACTCACGCTGACATCCTGGCAATTTCACTTAACTGCTAATGGAAATGTGACAGCAGCTAGACTTTCCTGGTTGCAGTGAAACTACCGATTACAAAGCAGACATTCAACACGATGGATTCTTTTTCACATTTTGATTTCTCTCAGTAGGAAAAGCTCAGGGACCACTAATAGCATTAATGATGGTTCTGTAGGTTTTGAATGCAACACCGAGCCAGAACGCACAATACGGGGAGCCGGGAAGCGAAGCAGCAAAATGGAAATCAGATTTATAATCGGCACTTTTGCTCCTTCTGCTTTGTAAAAAGAGGAATATTCCACAACACAACCTATTCCCACCACTTGGTTGCAAGATTAAAAAGAGAAAAAGTACAATTTGCTGATTCAAATAAACAATGTCAGACATTTTTTTTAAAGGTTGGGATGACACATCATTATTGGCAATTGCATCAACTTAATAATACATGTGTATTAAATTCAAGTTTCCGTGTTGGTTGGCCTAAAACTAAATCCAAGTTGAGGTGACTTCATGAAACTGGCCTGCTAATTTAACTTTAGTTCAGGATCTTAAGTCTCCGCTATCTGAACACTGGGAAACAAAAGCACCTTTAATTGTTGAGGAAAAAGTGAATTAACTCAGTGCAGTTTGCTGGTTGAGCAGAATTTTATTAGAACTCGTCTTAACTCAATCTTTTTCTTGAACCCAAACAACATTTATTTACACTGCAAGGTCCTTACATCCATGTCAGGGGATGCTCTTATAGTTCTGTTACAAAAATTCTTAAAAAAATAAAAACTTCTATCAAGAGAAAAGTCTTCCAAAACCATACAAAGTCACCACACGTTGTAAACATTTCTAAATCTGTCACATCAGACACTTTTGATGTGGATGCAGTGCAAACAAAAACCATTTAAACATGGCGTCATTATGGACTTTATCAAATTAAGTCTTATGAAAACTAACACATCTCCATCATTATTGGAACAAAAACCCAAAATTTAAACTTCATGTAAACTTGTTGTTCAGTACCCGAGGAACTAAACACAGGTCATGACTTCTCTTTGTCAGACAACACCTTCTGTGTTAACGCGAACTCTCGAGCCTCCCGAGGAGTGCGGATGTATGAGTCAATTTCGCTGTCAGAGATTTCCTCGTCACCGTTTACATCCTGGAGCTCAGGTTGCTCCACTCTCCTCCTCTTGGGGTGAATCACACACGGGGGAGCGAACAGCACTCTTTTGCCCCAGTTTGATTCTGGATCTTGGCTCTCCTCAGCTTCGCCGTGTTCTGGCGCTCTGCCTTGATTGGCCTCTTCATCTCCTGGTTGCTCAGCCCTGTCAGGTTTATATTGTTCCACGGAGGCTGCGTTTGGAGTTTGTTCTACGTGTTCGGTGATTTGGGAGGGAGCAGTTGGAGGTTCTGCCTGACTCTCTGCCTGCAGAGTGTCCTCGTGGGCTCTCATAGCCCTCCTCATCAGGGCGTACCTGTGCTGCAGAATGTCCTCCACCTGCCGAACGACGTTATCCGGCGTCACCGCTTCCCTCACCCAAGGAATTTCCTTGCCTAGTTTACACAACACCTGCTTCATCTCGGCTATCCTCGTCAGAGCCACTCTGTGCTTCTTCACTTGGGCGATCTGACAGAATTTTTCCAGAGAGAGCTGGAGGCGGTGCTTGTTGGGTTTCAGGGACTGCCAGGCCAAGTACATCGCTGCCATCATGATGGGGACGGGCCTACGGCCAGTCACAATCCAGGAGTCTGCTGCCAGCTCCACCAGAGCCACGGCGCGCTTGGTCAGGTCCTTGGTGCTCTCGGCCAATTCTTCCGGAACGTTAAGTGAGCTGATTTTGTATCTACCAGAAATGAAATCACATTCAGGTAAGTTCTAGATAAAAGGCTCGTGTGTGACTTTGTCAAAGGATATAAAAGTAAAGCCCCACCTATGAATCATTCAGGCTACAATCACACTGTGAGCCTTTGTGCTCAGTTTGGATTTACTACTGCTCAGATCAGATTATATCAGATCAGGAACGCAACAGAACAATAACAAGACGCCACAGAAACACAGAGGCCACTGAAGGCAGCTTTTACGGTTTCATTAATAAGCTGATTTTTAGTAGTTGCCAGTAAATTCTTGAGCAGATGATAAAAAGAATGAAAAAGCGACAACATTCTGACTTTAACTGTTGATGTAACAGCAGCTACTTCTGTGTTGAGTCTGAGCCGGAGCGGCGGGATTGTAAAGTGAACGACTTCACACGGTTTTATATTCCGTCGAACAGGTCTGTCGACCGGTTTAAAGATTTGATCAAGGTTCAGCGCAGAGACAAGCGGCTGCTGCAAAGTCTAGACAGGTCAGATGAAAAGAATCGGTTCAACTAAGAAATATCAAACTTTTATTTTCTTCCATCATAGTACTGATGTTCAGTTCAATTCTAATAACTTTATTTATACCCTCGGGGAAAGTCAAAAGCTCACTGAGTATTTTATATAAAGACATGAAAAATAATAAGATAAAGATTTTAAGAAAAAAAACAATAAACCACATCATAAATATAGATATTGACAGTTATGTAAATTTTAAGTAAAGGCTAAATAACCCTGTCTAAAAGAGTCTAAAACTACGAGCACGTCTTGATTAAAATGAGACTCGTGTGTATCATCGGCTGCACTGAGCTGCTCTTCATGTTTCGCTGGTCTATAAAATAACAACGACTGTCTATGTGTCAGACCTGTTGGGTGAGAACGCCAGAGAAACGCTCAGACAACTTACTCCTGACTGTGAGCCTCCATCACATCCGTGACGTTGACCGTCGGCGCCTCGATGCTCAGAATCTTGAGCACCTCTTTATAAATGGCTCCCACCACGTTGGGGTCGGCGTCCACCAGGCAGCTTATGGTTCCCATTGTGATGGGCCAATTACGCAGCCTGCAGCTCAAGAGCACGCAGCAGCCGGCGAGAGTTTCCTTCTTCTGGAGGCTCACGTTGATGAAGGTCGCGTGCTGGTAGGCCTGTTTGTAGTATTTCTCAGAGAGATCCTCGATTTCGCTGTTGACCCTGAGGATCCGACACAAGGCTTTCAAACGCTGCACACCTGCGTAACGAAGGTATATGAGGAACGAACAGCAGGGTGAACGGTATACACAGGAGCTACAGCATCTCTAACAAGCAAAAGCTCCCTGAGAGGGGAAAATCTCACCTTGGATTAGGTTCATACAAGGCTTCTTGGCCACGGCGGTGGTTCTGTTATAGCTGACGACTGTAAAGAGGACAAAAGACAAAATGGAACCGAATTAGTGACAAATGCAGCGTCACTTGTTCATACATCATCGCTTCTTAACACATTTCCTGCACAAAATCAAACGCCAATTCTAAAAGAGAATGAATGAATTGCACACGTCACCTCGCTGTTCAGATCACTTCACTCGCATCAAATTCAAAACTCTGACACTTGCTCACACTCTTGCTTTCGCTCTGGGGACTTAAAGCCTCGGTGAATCTCAAACATCCCACTGACGCTCATCATGTTTCAACTAATTACACATTTGTTTGGAAAAATGCAACATGGAGGCAGAATACAGGAACAAAACTGTCACTAAAGGTAAGGGAAATGGAAGCAGAAAACCTCCACCTGTGATAATCAGGAACATTTTGATGGACAACGATCCTGCTGGTAAAGTTTTACTGACTATACAAACCTTTCGACTCACAAAAGAGCAAAGGACAATTGTCTTAGATCTCTTACGATTCTAACCCTGCACATATAGTAGTTTTAAATGCATTTGTCTTGGTTTTGTGGTGTTTAAAAAATGTCTCTTCTCACCTTAATAGAATGGAGGTGAAAGGGGTAAATTGTATAGTATTATCTCTTCCATAATCAGAGTTCCTGTTGCTCTGCATGAACCACGAGCCTCGCTTTCAGAGGTTTAAACAGCAGCTCCAAAGAAAACTCATCTGCACTTAAATAGCACCTTAGCTAGCCAGCTCATGAAAGGGAAAATGGAAGCAACAAAACCAGATGTAATTAGTTTAAACAGGGCATAAGGGTGTGCCTGGTTAACTTCAACAAACAGACAAAAGCTCTTAAAGAAAGAACTCACAACTGACAAAACAAAGTAAAACCAATTTCAACAATAACAAAAGCGTTCAAAATCAAAGTACACAGAACAGCACCTTCCTAAATGGGAATAAATAACAACAATCCTCTCAACGAGCCCTGGTCCACAGCAGCTGTTTGACTAAGTGCCTTCACACACAAAATAAACTTCTCCCAGGAGAACGAGGTGCTCTGAGTACAGCCACCAAGCCAACTGGGCTGCTCTGAACTAAACAGAGCGCCATCACCAGCTGGAACGTCCCATTGGATCCTGGGAGAGCGGCTCGTCTCCGCCCATCTGCTCTGGTCCAATCGGCGCTGGCACACTGTAATTTATATACTGAAGACAACAAAGCAAAGAAGGAAGAACCAACAACCGCAACAGCTGGGTTCTATGCAACACTTTATGATGTTCTTCTAATGATACTCGTACACCAATGGTGGTGGAGCTGCTATAAAAGATGCTCGACAGCCATTGAGAGCAACATAGGTGTCTTGCCTAAAGGACGCTTTGGTCCGTGAACATGTCGTACCGCCAGACTTGCCATGAGTGGACAACCTGCTCTGTCACATGACCTCCAGCTGCCCCATGTGCCTCAGCTGGAACATATAGACCGGCTGTTTTTTAATGTCATTTATTGAAGCAGTGCAAAAGAACAAAGTGCGCACGAGGAATGCACAAAATTACATTCAAGTTTTCAAGCTGACAAAGTAAGAGTACAAAAACGACATACATTTGGGATAAGAAAGAAAACACACACACACTTAGTATTCCCTCTTTACTAATAGAAAAAGCAATTAAGGAGGATCAAATTTCCCTGAGATGTGTTCATCAGAGCAAACCTGATTCTATCTAAAAAAAGTAATTTCCGCAATGGTGTACAAGTGAAGGAGACTCTGGTGTTTGGGAGTAAAATATTCTTTGATGGTATGAGGACACGAGCCCTGGACGGACTTTATGACGTCCTGAAAGTAGTCAGTGACAATGATGGTCAACTTTGGGTAAAGAAAAAATCCTCAGGTTTATCAATAATAATAATAATAGTAAACTTTTAAGAATCGAATTCACAAAGTGCTTTTCTAACACACAGAGACAAGGCAACACAGGAAAACAACATGTATAAAAAGTGCAGGCAAACACTCAAAACATAAAAATACACACAATAAAAATGGGGGAAAAAAAGAGGCTAGGTCACTACTGGAAGGAGTATTATAATAAAACTAGTAAAACTGACTAAAAAGACGACATCACAGAGGGGAATACAGATAAAAGTGGATTAAGAAAGAGAAAAGAGAGAAGGACAGCAGGCAGTACCGATATAAAAAAGGGAAAAGAAACAGATGAAAATCTACAAGGCAAATAAAAGAGAACATCACTCTAAAGTGGGTTTTAAGAAGTGATTTAAAAGAAGATACTGAATCTGTGAGCCTTATTTCCTCAGGTAGGTCGTTCCAAAGCCCCTCACAGAAAAGGCCCAGTCGCCTTTGGATTTGAGCCTCGACTTTGGCTTTGGCTTAAAAAGTGATCAGTAAACTCTTAAAATCAATTCTAAAACCGACAGGGAGCCAGTGGAGAGAGGCCAGTATAGGGGAGGTGTGATGTTGCCTGTTAAAACCAGTAAGGACGTCTTAAGCACATTATAGACCAGTACATCAGGCCTGTCAGTGTTAACTTACTGTAGATAAATGAGTGTTTCTGTGTATGTGGTGACTCACAACAAAGAACAAGGTCTGAGGTACCTTAAGGTCTCCTTCAGTTTGTTCACCAGACAGAATAGAAAAGTTGCTTCATGTCCCTCTCAGCTAATACTGAGATTTTTTTTTATTTTCAGCACTTTGTATGTCCTCCATTATTCTTTTCATCCTCTTCAGCATGAGGGACTCCACATTTCTGAAGAGATGCTCTGCCTTTCCTCAGACACAATATTCAGAGATAACATCTAGCTCAGGTAATAGTCTTGGTCCAGCCAGTTAGACTACAGCAGTGTGTTCTGGATCATTATTATGCTGGATTATTCCTCTTCTGCAAAACCTCTGCAGGCTGGGAGTCGTCTTGTCAGCCACTATTTCATCACATCTACAGGTGTTCATGGTGCATCTATAAATGTCACCTGCCCAACACCTTCTGCACTCGTGCAACAAGCACACTCACACCTTGGCCAGGTTCATGATGAGGCCAGCAAATTGATCTTCATCTGACCAAAGAACATGCTCCCAATATTCAACACGGCTCTTTTCATGCTCTTTAAGTTTAAGCATGAATGAATGTATTTTTCTTGGACTATGTAATATCCTTCACTCTGCCTGAGCTGTCACAGAAACTCTGGTTTCCAGTGTTACCCACTGCCACAAACCAGTATGTGGCATCTCTGTAGGAGGACGAGCACTGAGGCTCTGATTAGTGGTACAATGACTTCTTCCATACCTCTTCATTGCTGCTGCAGCTGTGACCGATTTTAAGCTTGTCAGTGGTTTCCATGCCTCCTTTTCCATCTTTGTGACATCTCACAATTAAATATTTTTATTTCTCTTGCTAGTCTGCTCTACGTGGAGTCATGATGCAGACATGCAGATAGACAACTGGTCCGAATTGAGAAAGTTCTGGGGTTTACGGATCATTTTATAACCATGTTCATGCAATTAGATTAACTGGGAATCACAGGTGTACCAGTTTTCTTTCACAGGTTTTCTCAATTGTGTGTAATTTATTTTGTTGAACTGGATTTGTACTTATGGTCTTAATTTTCAATGTGGCCTTTAAAAACACTTGTTTGGTTTATATGAGGAAATACTTTAGGAAATAGTTTAGAAGTAATGCTGCACAAGGCTGCAAACTGTCACACTTATGCCTAGAATGAAATCTCAACTCCTAAGAAATAAAATTGTAATATAATCTCAAGCAACATGTTCTTCGAGGTTTCCACTCATATCCATCAGTGAGTTTAACCCCAGCAGGCGACACGAGCCAGCGACAAGCCTTTCTATCCCCTCCGTACCTGCACCTCCGGCCGGTTCGTCAGCCAGCGACCCCTCAGACACCACGGAGCCGCAGTCCACGCACACCAGCTGGGCCTGAGAGTACAAGTCATCGTCCACGATGTTGGAGGAGCCGCAGCCCGGACAGCTCAGCCCCGAACGGAACATCCTCCTCGGACGAAGCTACAGCCGCGTGGGAGACAGTCCGATAAATTAAACTGGTTCTAAATGAGCAGGAGCTCCTGACAAACACGCCGCATCCCGCTGAACTGTACACCTGTAACCTGCAGCCAAACGACCAGTGGACGTTCACAGCTGCGCTCAGGAGGGCGAGTGAAATGTGTCCGGGCGGATACAAGATTCACAACGTCGATGGTTCCTCTTTGTTGTCATACACACATTTAAATGTCGTGCACAACCTTACGTTTACCCACCTGTTTGATGAATATTGAGCACTTTTTTGTGTCGTCTTTCTTTTTTGTTTGTTTCTTGTCACTCCTTCAAGTACCTTCCTATCAGGTTCAATGTGACTGTTTTCTGCAAAACAAATCTTCCCACGGGTATTAATAAAGTAAACTTGAACCTTGAACCCTTTCTGCCTTAATTACTGCTGCAACTTTTCCTTCTTTGTGAAGTCTCACAATCATTTTTTATTTTTAAATCCCTCCAGCAATTCTTTTCCATGATGCAGACATGCATATAGAAACAACACTAAAGTCCAAACCTGACAAAGTTCTGATGTTCACTAGTAATTTTATAACCATGTTCATTGCAACTGGAACTCACAGATGTTCTCAAACTGGTTTCAGTGACCGCAGGTTTTCTAAACTGTGGTTTTGTGTTTATTCACTTTCATTGCATTGAGTTTCTACTTTGGGGCCTGTAAGTATTTGTTTTTTGATTATTCATACGAAGAAATCCTCTACTAGGTAACTTTAAAATAATGCAGTTATTGAGAGGTGATACAATCATATGAGTTATATGAGTTATATTGTACTCACCTCGTAGCCCTGTGATAGACTGGTTACCTGTCCAGGTGTCTCCTGCCTTCACCCTGAGTCAGCTGGAATAGACTCCAGCCCCCCATGACCCTAATGAGCGGTGTATAGGTAATGGATGGATGGATGTACTCACCTCTGTTGTTCCTGTATCTGTGCTGTAAGCTGTATTCCCAGGTGTCCTTAGTCTGTTCCCAGTGCCTGTTTCACTGTCAAAGTTTGTTCTGTTGGAATGACTTTGTAAAAGGAGCCAGCTTATTAGGCAGGCTGCCAAATGACACAAGTCGGCGCTCTCTTTTTTGTTTAGTTTTTTTTAGTTTGGTGAGCACCAGAAATATAATTAAGAATGACATTTCAAGTCTAATGACTTAGATGTAACTCTACACAGTTGCTTCCTATAGATGAACCACATCTATAAAGTCCCTGCATCCCTTTCACCGCATCCCTTCTTACTCACTGCAGCTTGAGCACACCAGCTCAATCCTGGTTTGAAATGGAGCTAAGATGAGGAAATGTGGCGTCACAGAGCTCCTTCTCTTCCCACTTTCCAGTGATATGACAACTTGATATTAACACCAAGAATTTTAGTTTAAAGTCCCTCTCCAGTTACTCTTTAAATGGCTTTTGCTCATAATGCGGCTTCCAGCATTTCATCTCACCTGTGGACATGTTAACAAGGTAGAACCTGGACTTAAACTCTTTAAGGGGGCTCTTAATCTGGGCTCTTTAATTATACTGGCGTCTAGCGTGAGCTGGTAAGGAATGTAGAGAACTGAAAGGACCAAATTTATAGCTGCTTTTGTGGAGGAAAAGAAATCACATAAAAACATAGATCTTTTAAAGAAAATGTAAAACTGCCTACATGACTCAGAAACCGTCAGTTTTCAAAAACCCAGCTACTTATCAGGAAAGAGCGAGCGTGGGCTTTTATCAGATCGTAGGCTGAACGAGATTGCAAGAAAAAGGGTGACAGAGAGCATTTTTTACATCGATAAAGGAAAAGTCACAATTCAAGGGTTTATTTTATTTTTCAAATTTAATAAAGCAGTTTAAGCAGTAACCTTGGTACAGTACAAGAATTCAGTGTATATCATGTTATTAGCACGAGCTCATTAAAGTGCTTTGTTTGGGGTTAGCAGAATCATGTAAACATTCAGGACAACAGAAGGACTATCTGTGTAACTAGTGCATAGTTGTACAGTGAAATAAGGCTCTTCTTCATATGGAAACAGTTTTTGGTTTGCCAAGTAATACAATCATTAGTTTGTTTTGCTGACTACAGATCACATATGTTCTTCTGGAGTCTCACATGGAAAAAACAATAAAAAGTTTTATTTAATTGATTATTTGAGAAACACAGACTCATTGCAAAGTGATATAATCCTCAACCTGAAAGGCCTCTGCAACATTTCTCTTAGAATATTTATTTTGATCATCTTTACTTTTAAACTGTATTTGCAGACATGTCAACCTTGACATCTAAACTGTTAAATAAGCTGTAAATCATTCTTCCTTTTCTCTTAATTCAGTCTTTCAAAATGAAGTTTTTAACGTGGAGCCGGTGTGAATAAAGTATGATTAAGGAGATATGAACTGATTCGGTCCAGCGTGAAGAATAAAGCTGTGACTCCACTCAGGCAGCTTTCTTCACAGCGTTCAAGGACATGAGGATACTTGGCTGCTCTTCAATGACCCGAACCAGTAAGTTGTCGATGTACAGCTCCAGCTCTGATATCTTTTTGTCCCTCTCCGAGAGCTGGTTCTCTTGTTTCAGCACCAGAGAGATCAGTTCCTGCTGGGTCAGCTGGGAGTACGGACCCTTCAGGCCTCCGTCATTAACCTGGAGGATGTAAAGCGTCATTAAATGAAGCATCTCAATTCCACCGGTCCATTTGTTTTTGAAAACTTTTTAAACCAACATGAAGGTTTCGGGCAAAGAAAAGAAAGAAAGATACCTTTGCTTTATCTTCACTTTGGATTCCTGTGGGTTTGTTTTCTGCTTGAACCGCTGAGACAGACTGCTGCTCCACAGAATTAAGAGGTTTTACAGGTTGAAGCCTGAAAGGACAAAGGACAAAAAAAACAAGGAAAGATGTAGGCAGTTGGTTTATGGATGCCGAGAATGAAGCTACATTTTTCTACAAATATCAAACAGTCATGCGTTTACTGCAGCCATCCCTCATTAAACAGATCACACATGACATCACCGCTGCATTCATCCACATCAACCTTTCCAGATACAACATGATTAATAATACACACAAACATTAATGATGAATGTATATAAATAATAAAACAGAAATGAAAACGACTCTACAGTAGAAATATCGGTGCTTTCTTGGTGAGCCTTTACTGCATATGTGGGCTCTTTTTCCACTTTTCTTGTCCGTCTATAAAGCTTCTATTTAATTAAAGGCAAAATGCCCCCCCCAAAAAAAGACATTATGCAAGGAGGATATTGGCCACCAGTGGCTGGCAATCTATAATATATGAGGTAATAGATGGGATGTTTGAATATTCTTTGGCCTTCCTCTTAAGGAACCTAAGGTGTGTGATCCATAAAACATGATGTGTGATCTATAAGATTTGAAGCGATGGAGGAGTTCCTGTTCATAAGGTGAGCTGCTCACCTGCGTGCAGCTGTAGGCGGTCCCTCCTTCTTCACACCTGCCTCCACTGTAGTCTGCACTTGTACAGGCTGAGGCTGCTGGACTGGACTCTCCTGGACCTGCACCGGATCTACGGCCTCCAGCTGGGGGTCACACGCCTGGTTTGTAACATCAGCGGGTACAGGGTCATCTGTAACGCAACCTCCTCCTTGGTTGGTTAAAGTGTCGTCGTTCTTCGGGGGTGCGGGGGCACGAGCCACCTTTGAGGATTTGATTCTTGCCTGAGAGGCAGCGTCTTTATCAGCAGCGTGTGATGGAGGCGGGCAAACGGGATCAGCATCATCCGTGTTTTCATCTTCGTCGTCTTCAAATGGATTTAAGCCATAAACCGTCTGTTTCGTCTCTGCAGTCGAGCTTGTTTTTGGCTCCTCTTCTACAGATGGAGGTCTGGGCGGGGCAGGACGTTTGTTGTGTTTGCCTGCGACTGCTGCTCCTTTGGCGGCGTTGCTTTGAGCCGAGCCCTGGGCGCCCTTTGAGTCGGCGGCGGGCCTGCTGAGGGGGACGATCATCTGCACCGAGCGCTGAGGGGGAACACTGACGGTTTTGACGTCCTTGTCTTTATTCTGCTTGTTAATTTGTCCCAGATGTCTCGCGGATGCGTCCTGCTCCCTCTGACTCGGTTTCTCAGCTTGATTCCTTCCCGGAGGCTGAGGCGCCGGTCGCTTCTCCCGTTGAGCGCCAATCAGCTCCTGTTCATCCGCGGAAACGATCCTGCTTCCCGAAGACTGACACCTGGAAAGGAGACATGAGAATCAGGCATACTTGAGCGTTTAACTGAAGAGGAGTCTCACGGGGAAGTCAGAATACTCCAAATGATGCAAGAATTCAATAGCATGAGATCATCACCTAAAAAAAATGAATCATGAAGTTGAAAAGAAGCTTAAAGATATTGAGAAATTGTGTCAAACCCTTCCTGTATCGAACAGCAGAAGGATGACAAAGGATGTACTTATCAGTGTTCCTAGTTTCATCTTATTTCATCATGTAGACTGATACACTCATATAAAAATGGAAAAAGAAAACAGCTTTTTAATATTTCAGTATGCCGATCTCACCCTCAGATCGCCGCAAATCTACCTCCTCTGTCAGATAATGACTAAAGGTTTCCAGTCATTTTGACTTCTCATCACACGACACCTGACACGACGAGGTGCAATGAGCTCAGTCTTCCCTCCCAGTCCGCTCCACTCGTACAAACTCGTAGCACGCACAAGCACAGGGCGATGTAATTTTCATGCCGGTGTCAGTTTAAGGTTGCACTTAAAAGACAAGTGCTGAGGAAAAAAACTGCTGCAGAGTCGTGACTGAGTGAAAAGGTGCATTCAGATAATGCTTTCTGTGCATGTCGATCACCCTCACACCACACTGTTTTCATCAAGCGCTCAAATTCAGCTTCACTACTGCTGCTCAACGCTGAAGTTTTCAGCATCTCATACTGAAATCACCGACTGAAATATCTCAACAGCTTTCAGACGAGTCGCGTTCATGGTCTCCAGAGGTCGAATCCTACGAACCTTGGTGATCCGCTAACGTTTCATCATGTACCAAATCAGTCAACACAAGTTATTCTCGTAGATTAATTGTAACAACTGGACTTGCTTGAGTTCCTTGAAGACGTTCCACCTCTCATCCAAGAGGTTTCATCAGTTCTGACTGACTAGTCGGGAGTTCCAGATACTTACATCCTCCAAACTGAGCTATGTTAATGTTATTTCTTGTTGTTGGTGTGTAGATGTGAGTGGGAGAGGAAGAAAGTACAGGTGCTTATGTGTGTGCCTGTGGGGGAATGTGTTGTCATGATTGTGTTTAACTCCACCAAGAGGAGGCCGGAGAGTCTAACTCCACCTGACTGAGGAGGTTGGAGGTGGAGCCCACTGGAGAAGGCTTGAGAACCAGCTGCCACAGCCTCAGGTGGCCGAGGAAGGCAAACAGTTTTCTGACCATGTGGCTGCACGAAGGAACCAGGCCTTCTTAAAGACTTTTGATTTAACATGCTTTTATTTTATTTTTGACTTGAATCCACTTTGACTCATCATCATTCATCTGCATGTGTCAAGACTAAAACCAACCCAACCATCAGTCGTGGTCAAGCAGCAGACTAAAAGGGGTTTGTTGAAATTGCCATTACAGGAGCCATGAACACCTGAGCTTTGGTTTCAATTGGGGGTTTGTTGCTCCTTCCTCTTGTTATGTGAGTCGTTAGTCCTGGCTCCTTTAGGATGTAATTATCTGGAACTCCAACTAGTCAGTCAGAACTGATGAAGCCTCTTGGATGAAACGTCTTCAAGGAACTCAAGCAAGTCCAGTTGCTACGATTAATCTACCAGAATAACTACGACCTGGAGGACTGAGAACCTTCACGGACAGTCAACAAAAGCTTTTGTCCAGGATTCCTAGATGATGAATCTTGAAGACTTTGGTGATTTTCCTCCAGTCCCACCAGCAACTTTTGTCGCTTTAAATGACAACAACTGAGAGATCTTTCATGCGCCCCTTGAATAACCAACTGTAATAAATGATCTGCTGATTTTGAATCAAATGCTATCATCACATCAACATTTGACTTACATTCATTTACGACCTCATACTTTTATTAGAATTTTTATTATTTACAATTTATTACAGATTGTTAAAATGGCTAAAACATTACCTGCCAAAGTATTGTTGTACCCTCATACAGCTGTTGTACGCCCGTAGATGTTGTGTTTTTATCCGTTAGTGGTTTAAGATTACAATTTATTGCAATACTTTTTAAAAATACTTTTGGAAAAATGGTTGCAATGTTTTTTTGCACATCTCACATTGGTGGTCATTTGAATTTCTTTCAAAAGAAATTAACTTTTTTGGCAAATTTTCAATTTTAAAGGTGGCATGTAATGTTGCTTTTTACATGGTTATGATTTTGAATGACTGAGTATAAAGAAAATAGAACAAAAACTTTATTGATCCTCTTGGTGGAAACCTATAAAGTTCTATTCTATTCTATTTTCTTTATACTCATTCAAAATCATAACATGGACACACTGCTGTAATGAAGGCAAATATCCAAAAGTCTGAGAGTTTTTGAATCAATAAAATAGTAAGAACTGTTTCGTGTTTGTGAGCCGTGTGGTGTACAAGTATTGAGCTAACCTTTGCTGAACATTTGCCTCTTTGGCTCCAGGAGGTGAGTCTGGAATTTCCTCAAAGGGATTATACGAGTAGTTTTCATCAAACGGATTAGTAGACGTGGCTTCAGCAGGACTGCTCGCTTTGCATTTCCTCGCTGCCGCTTTTTGTTCATCTTTGTTTTTCCTCTTCTCCTGTTCTTCTGCATCTCTTTTTAACTTCTCCTCCTCCAGCCTCCTCGCCTCCTCCTCCTCTTTTCTCTCCCTCTCAGCTCTTTCCTCCCTCCTGATCCTCTCCTCTTCCTCTCTTCTTACTTTCTCTTCTTCCTCTAGTCTCCGTCTCTCTTCTGCTAATCTCTCCATTTCCTCCTTTTCCTTTCTAGCCCTCTCTTCTTCTTCCTCTTGCCTCCTCTTCTCCTCCTCTTCCATCCTCATCCTCTCCTGCTCCTCCCTTTGTCTTTTTTCTTGCTCTGCTCTTTTCCTTTCTTGTTCCTCTTGTCTCCTCTTTTCTTCCTCTTCTTCCTTCCTCCTCTCCTCCTCCTCCACCCTTATCCTCTCCTCCTCCTCAATTCTCCTCCTCTGTTCCTCTTGTTTCATTTTTTCTAATCTCTCATATTCTTCCTTTTCCTTCCGAGCCCTCTCCTCGTCCTCTCGCCTCCTTACTTCTTCCTCAACTCTTCTTTCCTCCTCTTCTTTCCTCCTCCTTTCTTCCTCCATCCTCATCCGTTCCTCTTCCTCCTTTCTAAGTTTCTCTTCTGCTTCAATCCTTTCCTTCTCCTCCTCCAGCTTCCTCTTTTCCTCCATCAGCCTCTCAATTTCCTCCTTCTCTTTCCTCATCCTCTCCTCCTTTTCTTGTCTCCTCATCTCTTCTTCCTCCCTCTGCTTCCTTTCCTCCTCTTCTCGCCTCCTTTCTTCCTCCATCCTCATCCGTTCCTCTTCCTCCTTTCTAAGTTTCTCCTCTGCATCAATCCTTTCCTTCTCTTCCTCCAGCTTCCTCTTTTCCTCCATCAATCTCTCAATTTCCTCCTTTTCTTTCCTCATCCTCTCCTCCTTCTCTTGTCTCCTCATCTCTTCTTGTCTAGTCCTCTCTTCTTCCTCCCTCTCTTGTTCTTCTCTTCTTTTTTCTTCCTCCATCCTCATCCTTTCCTCCTCTTCCTCCTTTCTAAGTTTCTCCTCTGCCTCAATCCGTTCCCTCTCCTCCTCTAGTTTCCTCTTTTCCTCCATCAGTCTCTCATATTCTTCCTTTTCTTTCCTCACCCTCTCCTCTTCCTCTTGCCTCCTCCTCTCTTCTTCTTCTCGTCTTCTCACCAGCTCCTCTTGCTCTTTTTGCCTCCTCTCTTCCTCCCTCCTCTCCTCTTCTTCAACTCTCCTCCTTTCTTCTTCCTCCTTTGCAAACTTACGTTCTTCTTCTTCTCTCCTAACCCTCTCTTCTTCCTCTTCTTGCCTCCTCCTCCTCCTCCTCTCCTCCTGAGCCTTTTCCTCTTCCATCCTAATCCTTTCGTCCTCCTCTCGTTGCCTCTTTTCTTCCTCCTCGATTTTCCTTCTCTCCTCTTCCTCTAATCTTCTCTTTTCCTCTGCTAATCTTTCACACTCTTCTTCTTCCTCTCTCCTAACCCTCTCCTCTTCCTCTCTCCTAATCCGTTCCTCTTCCTCTCTTTTAACTTTCTCTTCTTCAACCTTTCTTCTCTCTTCTTCCTCGGCCAACCTCTCGAGCTCTTCCTCTTCTCTCCTCCTCCTCTCCTCCTCCATCCTTTCCCCTTCCTCCCTTCTTAATTCATCTTCTTTTATATTTTCCACTTCTTCTTCCTCCTCTTCCTCCTCCGTCCACGGTGAGCACTGCCTCGCTGCTCTCAGTGAATCAACAGATGGAGGAGAGTTTTCTGGGACTTCCTCCATCGACCCGTGACCCGAACTGGCCAGACTGAAGTTTGAGCCGATGCGAGACGTCCGAGTCGGCGGCTCTTCGCAGTAAATGTGACTGCCGTTGATGCACAGGTTGCTCTGCTCCACAGGAGCTTGTTTCTGTTGGCCGGAGGAGGAGTCTTTGCTGTCCGAGCTGCCGGAGCGTTTGTGTATCTTGAACTTGAACTTCTTCTTCCCTGAAAAGACACACAAACGTTAGCATAACGACACAGAGGAGGAATAATGTTGATAAAGTAAATTCCTGACCCTCTGAGGAATCCACATTCAGACCAGATGATTGGCTGCCGCTCAGCGTCGAGTTCTTCGCCGGCAGGACCGACATGGACTGAGACATGTTCTTCTGCAGGTTGGACTTTGGAGAAAACAAAGACTTAATTTTGTGTTTCTTCTTTCCGTCCTTGCTTGCCGCTACTTCATCCCCGTTCGCCTCCTCCTCGCTGTCTGTCAGGACCTGAGTGAAGGACGGCGTCGTGCCCGACCCAGAGTCCGATTCCTTTTTCTTGCCACGAACTTTGTCCTTGAACTTGCCGAGCCGAGAGCGAGATTTGCCGGCGGCAGAAAGGTCAAACATGCTGGCAGTCATGTTGTTTCTCATAAACTGGATGTCCAGGAGCACCTCTCCTCTGTCTTTGTCTGGTTTGCCCGCCTTGTCCAGCAACTTGAACCATCTGTTGAAAGAGAGGCACGTTGTTAGACGTTTGTTCAACAGATATTAGCAGATACAAGCAAAGTATTATGTATTTACTAATCCATCGGTTATGGAGCAGCAAAATCATCCATCCATCCATCATCTATACACCACTTAATCCTCACTAGGGTCATGGGGGGCTGGACAGACAGGGTCATGGGCAGACAGACAACCAAGCACACTCACATTCACACCTATGGACAATTTAGAATCACCAATTAACCTCAACATGTTTTTGGACTGTGTGGGAGGAAGCCGGAGAACCCGGAGAGAACCCATGCTGCACGTGGAGAACATGGAGACTCCATGCAGAAAGATCCTGGGACGCGAACCAGCGACCTTCTTGCTGCGAGGCAATGATGCTAACCACCTTGCATCCTACCAGTTGATTATATATTATGTAGTATTTCTCTGATATAGTGAAGTAGAAGAAGAAAATGTCAGGAAAGAAAAAGACTTAAGTACAATAGTTAAGTAAATGTACTTAATTACAGTCCATCACTTCTAAAAACTGAAATATCACCTGTCATGTCTTTACATTCACTCTGCTTTAAACACTTGACACCTAAAGAGTTTAATATTAATGGAGCAGCAATCACAAACTAACATCCACCCTAAAGTCATCTAATGAAAGGTTCAAACTGAGATTCACTGAGTGTACGTCGATGTTCGCTTCTATTTATCGTCTTTGTGGAAACTATGATCCAACCTGAAGCAAATGGAAAGTGACGAAGGAGCGAGTCGAATGTTTGTGGAAAGTCTGGGATGATCTAAGCCGGCAAACTGACCACAAAGGAAAGTTGTTTTTAATATTTATATTTATACACTTCTAAAGCCTAGAATTCATGAATGCTGGTACTGTGTATCCTGTCAGCATCTGACAGCCTGGATGAAGGTCACTCCCTTTTCCTCCCACCTCGTGTTTCACATGAGCAAACCTAAATAAAACAGTATAATAGTTATAGACGCTTTTCCACCGTGACCTGAGACGTAGATTTGCACTTGGCTGGTGTTCTGATTGTGTCACACGGAGCTGCGTGTGCATCTGCTGCTGGTTCCTCGTTTAAGCTTACAGAGAGTTTTTATCTTAGAAGATCAGTTTCTGCTCCTCACAAAGTTCACAAAAACCTCATCTTCTGGATAAAAGAACAAATGCCAACAAAATCCTCATTCTTGTGAAACCATCTCATTTAGATAGAGCTGGACAATAACATACAAAAAAAAAGGAATCCAACGAAAACACTGGCTGCACCATAAAAGTCTCACATTTAAAATCTAAAAAATACCAGACACAAGACGTCCACCGAGACCAGACTGTGTCAGCTCTGCACCTGCGTCGTGGTCCGGCACCGACACGAGGGTCTCAGAATGAGCAGAATAATTTTAAGAGAACAAATAAAAAGGGCCAGTCAGCATAAAAAAAGTGCCTATCAGGCAGAAATCTGAGGTCAGCTCACCACTGAGCAAACAACTCCAACTGAAATCTGAATTCCTGGGGAAATGAGGAAATGAGGAAGGGGCCGTGTGTGCTGCCAGCTTGTTGTGTTGCGACTGCAGGCTTCTGTTTGCTGTCGCGCTGTGCGTTACACACGATATTGTCTAAATGTGTGTTTGTGTACGTGTGTGTTTATGAACCGTATTCATCCCTTCTCTTTACAAAAGCTCCCTGAGATGAACTGTACGAGCCGAACACAGTGTTTTCATGTCACCGTCCCGCAGCAGATAAGTCGCTGAGATTCGTCCTCCTCCTGCTGCTGCTCCCTCTGGAATGCCTCTGATGTGAGGCACAAACAAATTAAGCAGGGAGACGCCTTTTCCTGGAATCTGTGAAATGGTTGAGTGCCGTCACAGCTCCCCTGCCTCCGACTCGCTGATGAGCAAAGGGAAGGGATTTGCAAATTTCAGGCCTCGACATTATAAATATGCCACTGTGAGGCCTGATGGAAGTCCTTTAATAAAATGCTGCTAGACAGACAGATAATGCATTTATTTATCATGCTAATGCAGACAGAGTGCTGCTGCTGCTGCTCCGCTGCACGCTGACATATTTCTGTACGATGCAAAGTTATGAAAAAGAATAATTCATCCAGTCCCGCTGTGACTTCATCACATCTTTTCCAATAGTTTCCTTGTCAAAGTAGAACAGTTAGTTCAGTTCCTCCTCGTCCCCCTTCAGTGCAACATATCATAGACCAGGACAGCTGCTGCTCTACGTGTAAGATAAAGCACAGAAAGCAGAGTTTTATCATTCCACAAAGTCTTTCATGGTAATGATTCTTTTATATCTGTTCATTGCCACAACATGATATACATCAATAAGAGAAAATAAAAATCCTTATTGATATTGGGATAAAGAATCCAACCAACTAATTCTTTCTCTTTTATGGTTTAGTCTTTGATACAATATCATTATTGAACAGCTCAGCATGGAACTGTGCTCTAGTATATTAATGTATTAACAGCAATGTATACTTGTTTAGAGTAATATTCTACAATATTTGAAGTAGCATAGCAGCCTCAGCTACCGGATAAAAAATAATAATAAAACAAACAAAAAGACAAACTGTATAGTAACTGAAAATAGCAGTCTTAAGATTTTAAAAAAGCAATTTTCCATAATTAAAAATAACTTTCTAGTCTTTACATGAGGTCATGTGTATTTTGTGCTTTTAAAATATTTAATAAAGGATATTTATGAGTGTAAAAACAATGAAAATTACTTAATCATATAGAATAACGGATGGACAGATAGATTATAGTCACAATATTAAACTTGAGTTTAATGGTTTCATCTGACAAATAAAATTTAAATATTTGAAATGATTAATTTTGCATTTTATTTTAAATTAGACAGATGCAAATTCAGTGTTCATAAATTTATAGAATTCTGTATTTCAAAATAAAAAAAATCTGTAACATTAAAAAATATTTTTTTTTTATTTAGTCTTTTTTTTTATTATTCATTTAATGTTTTCTACATGTATGATAGAATATTTTAGTAGTAGTAGAACATCATTTGATGCTTATTACATAACAGTGTGTGACCTTTATAGCTGCATTGATGCAGGATAACGTTGGTGTGTTGTGTAATAACACCAGTATGACTACAGTAAAGCATGCTATAGTGCTGCACATACAATATGAGATAGTGACAGCAAAACTATAGCATAACACAGTACAACTAAATAACAGCATGACTACTGAAATATAGTGCAGCACAGTATAGATTTAATCCACAGCTGCAGCTCACTGATGGCAACAGAAGCCACAAAACAAATGCGTGAACAAGTGAAAAAAAAGAGAAGTAGAACTCTGCTTCCATTCAGTCAGAAGGGAAGTTGCAACAGCGTCTGGGCGTTAGCCGGTTGGAGCACTGAGGCAGAATTAAAGTGGCTTTTACTCAGGAGCGGCTGGCTAATGATGATGCTCTTATAATAATCTAACACCTCGGCGAATAAAAGAAAGCGCGATGCTCTGCTGGACAAACACGAGCGGAGCAGGATAATGCATGACTCAACACTCTGCAAATGTATTCTACTTTCTGCACACACACATCCTTCCTTGTGAAGCCTGAACCACTGATAAGACAATAGCCTGAGTGGCTGAAGCCGTCCTTATCACGGACTGCAGCTGTGAGTGGGAGAAGAGCTGAGTGAGTAAAACAACTCGACGGAGATAATGTGCAGAGACCGAAAACTGTCGGGGACTTATCGTATCCGTGAGTCAGAGGAGCCAAAATGAAGGCCAGAGAAATATGAAGGAACCAGGCTGGAATTGGAAACAAACTCCTTTTTCCCACGAATGTGCCAAATCAGAGGCTGAACCTTGAGTTATATTTTTAGTAATCAGCCATATTATATGCCGTGACGAAGACAACTTACAACGAAACAACCGATAGTAGCTGTAACTGAGATTTACTTACTGCAGGTTCACACATGAAGCCTCTATGTGGTGTTTTTTAACAACTCGTGTCCCATTTTTCTTTATTCAGGGTTCCAGATGAGCAGATTTTGGTAACAGAATAAAGTAAATCCAGCTCATCAGCAGCCTGAATGCTGTAATGCTCTTGTAGAAAATGTTGACATATGACAAAATGCTTTTTTCAAAGAAGGACATTCTGACATATTCTGGTGTAAATACTAAAACTATCACAGCTGAAGTTGTGTCTGGGCTGCCGTCACACTGCTGTGGACCAGAAAGGAGCCTGTGTTACGTTACAGTTGGTGAAATCTGTGGCGTTACCAAGATTTCTGAACTGATTACTCAAAATGTGGTTTGATCTTCATCTAAGTTGCAACTCTAGGCAAACACAATTTGACTAAAGCAATAACACACAAACAGCTGTAGTTTCTATGTCTTTTTTTAAGCAGCAGTGATTAACAGTGCAGAAACAAGTTAGTGAAGCAAATAACTCCTAGACCCTCCTTTAGCAGCAACAGGCTCCAGCAGATGTTTCTTGTAGCTGCTGGTGAGCGTTCCTCCTCACAAAACTGCTCAAGTTCATCGGTATTTCTGGGAGGTCTTGACTGAACAGGCTCTTCAGATCATGGCACAGCATCTCAATTGGGTGCAGGACTGACATCCATCCATCCACCACTTAATCATCAATAGGGTCATGGGGGGCTGGAGTCTATCCCAACTGGACAGGTAATCAGTCTATCACAGGGCTACACTTGGAGACAGACAACCAAGCACACTCACATTCACACCTACGGACAATTTAACCGGTGACTTTCTTGTGGCGAGGCAACGATACTAACCACTGTACCACCTTGCAGCCCCAGGACTGACAGGACCAATCCAAAACATGAATCCTCTTTATGAACCGTTCTGCTGCTGATTCACTTGTTGGCTGTGGTTGATTATCTTATTGCGTCACACAACCTCTCCTCGGCTTCAGGTCATGGACTGCTGCCTTGACATCAAATAATTTTAAATACATTGTTCCCTCAATAAATACGAGGCAAACTGGGCCCTGAG